AAACCTGTAAGTTTTATGTTTAGATGAATTGAATACTGAAATACAGGAAACAGTAGAGCATAAACCTGTATTTGATCCTGATTTTCACACTGAGCTAATCATCAAACATGAATTCGAGGATTTAAATTCAGGTAATTTCGATTTTTGTAAAACAAGAGATACAGAAGTAATATCTTTTTCAACTTTTAGAAATAAAAGTTATGGAAGGGTTTGTGGAAATTCAGAAAAATGGATAATTTCTGTCATTTCAGGAATTCTAATTTGTGCCCCTTTTCTATTAACAATGGATCCTTTTTAGTAATTTTGTCTTAAACTTGGTTGGGGGTCATGGGGGGTTGAGTTGTCACAAACATTCAATAAACACAAAAATAGATTTGAGTTTATTGAATACAAACAAATAAATGAAGAAATAAATCATTCATTCAAATATTGTTGGCCAGATAGATTTGACGTTTATTGAATACAAACAAACAAATAAATGAAGAAATAATTCAAGAAAAAAGGATGCAAAAGCAAAAATATGCTTGATTTTTAGTTCTAATCAGCATTTTTTCATTAACAAAACGGTTGTTTTCATAAATTAACGGAAGAGTCCATTAATAAACAGCAAAAGTTATTAATTAATTTTAAAACTGATTAGCCGTTTTTAATAAAAAAATTAACCGTTGGAAACAAAAATGAAACAGATGAGTTTTTAAAAACAGCAACTTTCCGCTAAAATTGGATTAAAGAGTCCATTAACAAACAACAAAAATTCTTAATTTTAGAACTGATGAGCCATTTTTGTTGGAAACAAAAATGAAACAGATGGGTTTTTAAAAACAGCAATTTTTGTTCTTTTTTTTGCTAAAATTGAATTGAACTTGCAAAAAAATTTACGTATTTTGATGTTTTAAAATGTTGTCTTCGTTCCCTCTTTCCCCTTCCTATTTATATGTTGGAACTTTCTATGATTTTTTTTGCAAATTGGTGATTGCCGTAAATCCAATTTTAAGAACTGTTAAAGATTTTTTAATGAAAATTTGGAAGTTTTGGCAAATCGTTATAAACACCAATACTACAAACAACCATTAACTGATAGCACCGTTAACAATTTGACAAACCTTAATGATTTTTTTTGTCCTTCACACAACGCTAATGGCAGAATATCTTCCGTTAACTTCGTTAAGAAAATTGAGATTGCCAGCTAATGGTAACTTAAAAAAAAACAGAAAATACCTTTAATGAAACGAACGTCCTGTTTTTACCTTTAAAACTAACTGCTAGCGGAAATTTTTATTTTGTAACAGTTGGAACTAACCGTTAACCAAATGGCTAGAAAAATTTGGAATTAGAGGAAAAAAATTTACTTTTTATCACAAGTCTAATTAATAGTATAGCAAATATTTTTCCATAATGTATTTAGAGAAAAACTAAATTCTTATTTAATAACAGGCTGTAGATACAGGCCACGGTAGTTGGAGCTTCACAGCTCGGCTACTGCCACTCGGTCATAACAGTATCATTGCACATGTCATGCTAACTCTGTGATCCATGCACCCCAAAAGGGGGCTCTGGGTTGCAGGGATGGGTGGTTACCTGATAACACTTGTGTTATTGGGGAGTCATAATAGATAGAAAGTCTGCTGTGAAAACTTTGAAATAATGTGTTTGTCATTAAAGTTTCTAGTTTTCTGAACTGGTCAAGGATTTAGATTCAGGAAATGAGAAAAGCAGAAATGTTCTCTTTGGACATATTTATCTATGAAGACATCCCCCCCCCCCCAGTATGCAAAGAAGCAGGTAACTCTTCAAAATACAACTCTTCGAGAAGATAAATTATTTTGTGAGAAAAAGTATAATTTTTAATCTCTCAAAGTGTCAAAAGAAAAATTCTTGAGTTGAGGAGGAGAGGGGGAATTTGCTCCAAGAGTAAACCAATGTTTTTTTCTAGGTGTAAAAGATGTTGAAAACAGTAAACCTGTATTTGATCCCGATTTTCACACCGAGCTAATCATTAAAAACGAATATGAGGATTGTAATTTAGGTGATATGTTCATTTATATTAAAATCGAAAAAAATACCTTTAAATTATAAATAATAGATGATTTTTAAAAATATTATTAATTTTATTCAATTTCAATGAAAGTGGTGCAGTGAGATAGGCTCTACCCTAACCTTTCTCCAGATTGATGGAGAAACTATTTTATTTATTTATTTAATCACAAGTTTCTAGAAATCCATCTTTTTAGTAAAATTATTGTTCAAATAAATGAGAACTTTTTAGATTTTAAAATTACAAAAATATAAATTATTGGTTACTTTACAGTTTTTAATATTGGCTTTGCAGAAAGAAATGTTTTTATTATTATTAAATAATATTTTCGCTGTTTAGGTGAAAACACGGATGAAAGATTTGATGATTATAAATCAAAACCAAAGCGAAACAAGAAGCGTAAAGTGGATTACACTTGTAATCAGTGTGAGTATGTTGCAACTCAAGCAGGCAATCTAAAAATCCACATTGAAAATAAACATGAAGGAGTGAGATATCCTTGTTCTCACTGTGAGTATGCTGCAACTACAGCAAGCCATCTAAAGAGTCATATTGAAAATAAACATGAAGGAGTGAGATATCCTTGTTCTCACTGTGAGTATGCTGCAACTACAGCAAGGCATCTAAAGAGTCATATTGAAAATAAACATGAAGGAGTGAGATATCCTTGTCCTCAATGTGAACATACCGCAACTACAGCAAATAACTTGAAGTATCATGTTAATAGTAAACACAAAGGAGTGAGATATCCGTGTTCGCAGTGTGAATATGCGGCAACTACAGCAAGTTGTCTGAAGATGCATTTTGAAGGTAAACACAAAGGAGTGAGATATCCTTGTTCGCAGTGTGAATATGCGGCAACTACAGCAAGTGATTTGAAGAAACATGTTGAAAGTGAACACGAAGGAGTAAGACATCCATGCTCTCAATGTAAATATTTGGCAACTAGAGCAAGTAGTCTGAAGAAACATGTTGAATATAAACATGAAGGAATTAGATATCCTTGTTTGCATTGTGATTTTGCTGCAACCACAGCAAGTAACCTGAAGAGACATGTTGAAAATAAACACGAAGGAGTCAGATATCCTTGTTTAGAATGTGAGTTTGTTGCATCTCGAGCAAGAAATCTTAAGGTTCATATTGGAAGTAAACATGAAGGAGTGAAATATCCTTGTTCTCAATGTGACTATACCGCAACTACAGCATCTTCTCTGAAGATCCATGTAGAAAGTAGACATGAAGGGGTAAGGTATCCATGTTCTCAATGTGATTATGCCGCAACTACAGCAGCTTCTCTGAAGATCCATGTAGAAAATAGACATGAAGGGGTGAGATATTCTTGTTTAGAATGTGAGTTTGTTGCAACTCAAGCAAGTAACCTGAAGAAACATGTTGAAAGAAAACACGATGGAGTCAGATATCCATGTTTAGAATGTGAGTTTGCTGCAACTACGCCAAATACTCTAAAGAAGCATGTTGAAAGTAAACACGAAGGAGTGAGGTATCCATGTTCTCAATGTGATTATGCCGCAACTACAGCAGCTTCTCTGAAGATCCATGTAGAAAATAGACATGAAGGAGTGAGATATGCTTGTTTGCAATGTAAATTTGCGGCAACTACAGCAAGTTGCCTGAAGAGTCATGTTAGAAATAAACATGAAGGAGTGAGATATTCATGCCACAAATGTGAGTTTGTTGGAACTCAAGTAAGCCATCTGAAGGTTCATATTCAAAGTAAACACGAAGGAGTGAGGTATCCATGTTCTCAATGTGATTATGCCGCAACTACAGCAGCTTCTCTGAAGATCCATGTAGAAAATAGACATATTATAACTAATTATGAAAGTTCTTGTTATTTGTACGAAACGGATTTTGCAAATACAAATTTACCCGATTTAAGCATCATCCGCCTGGCCCGAAAGTAATTTTTTCTATCAGGTGCCATTTTATCTTTAAAACACTATTTTAAATAAAACTTATACAGAATTGAGCCTTAAGAAAACTTAAGTCTTATTAAACTATACATTTCAGACTAACTAACGTAAATTATGGATGATTCTAAATGAAAAAAACGTAACAAGTGTTTTATGTGGTTAATTATAAACAATTGCCGGCCAAGGATGCCGCGCACTCTTGTACAGGGTTTGGTTTGGAATTTGAATAATAAAGACGCTTGAAAGACGACATTTAAAACTTTCAAACTTTTATACTTATAAAAATTTGTGATGGAAAGGTAGGTCGCAAATGCGACGATATTACAACGTGGTTATCTATACTCAAATGACGGTCGTAAATAAGACGTTAATACCACGTTGAAATGGTCTAAGCAAATGACGTCATTTTCATTAAATTAGCAACGTTAATACGATGTCGATATGTAGTTGTCCACGGTCGAAAAAATGTTGAAATTATTTCGACCAGATTTCATGTCGACTACACGTCGGAAAAACGCCTAAATGGCGACCTTCTGGTCGTGCGACGATATCTGGTTTACTGGGTGGATAAACCAGACGAAAAATAACCAAAGCAAAAAACAAATTAACTAAAGATTAAACTAAATAAATAAATTAAACAATAAATTAAACTAAAATAAAAATTACAGAATAAATAAATTAAACAATAAATTAAACTAAAATAAAAATTATCAGGAAAAAATTGAAATATTGTAGTTAACTAAAATTGAAATATTGTAGTAAACTAAAGTAAGGAAAATACTATCTTTTGATAAGGAAAGCCGGTTAAGCTGTAAATTAAAACAAAACTTATCAGTAACATTGAAATATAGTGATTAAGCAAATAAAGAAAAATACTATCCTTTAACAAGTAAAGGGAGGAGACCGGTAGTAGTTGACGGTCCAAGAGCTGGTATAGAAGTGAGGTAGAGTCGGGGGGAGTAGTAACAACATGTGAGAAGCGAGGAAGGAAAGGGTTGCGGCAAAACCAGCAGTACTGTACATCCCTCGCAGTCGTCTTCTTCACGATATTTAACCACCTATCAATAAATAGATAGAAGCTTAAATACACATGAAAATTATAAAACCCCAAAAATATGTTACAATAAATATAATCATTCTTACAAAAAAATATATATAATTGTAAACAAAAACCGTTTATTTTTAGTTAAAAATGTGAATATATTTATAATTTATTTACATATACTCTATAGAAATCAAGACCGAACATTATGCAATGTAAGATTTAACATTATAATAAAGATCTGATTAATATCAATAACTAACTGCATAAAGTTCAAAATGGCATTAAAACCTAAAAACATGCAAAAAAACTCTTAAGCAAGTATAGTTTGGGCGAAACATGAGTTAGGTGAAATGTAATTTAGGTGAAACATAGTATTGGGCGAAACGTGAATTGGGTAAAACATTATATTGGGTGAAACGTTATTGGGTGAAACGTTTTGGGTGAAATGTTATTGGGTGAAACATGATTGGGCGAACTGTTACCACACCCTAAAAACCTAAAAACATGCAAACAAACACACAAACACACTTGTTCTTCTGCTCTACTTTANATTGCTTATACGTATCGTTTGCACTAATGATTGATCGGACTAACGTACATTCGCACTAACGTTCATTCGGACTAACGTTTTATTTGAGGGTTAGGGTAGGTTAAGACAATTTCTTGACCGAGCGCTGCGGCTAGGACAGGCTATGGGGCCTAGCGCCGCAGCTATTACAGGCTAGGGGGCCGGGCGCTGCGGCCACAAGTATTAATGATCAGCTGACTTTATTGCAAAAGCATGTTAGTTCAATCGGACATTAATGCAAATAATATAGCATCCTGCAATCTGAACCAAAACTAAAGAGAATCAAGAAGAGTAAATATGAATATCTTTTAAAACTAAATATTTTTCATTTTCGTAAGATTATTCAATTTAACAAAATTGTTGCGTGTAATAATTAATATTAATTAATATCCATGTTCTCAATGTGAGTGTGCTACATCTAAGCAGGTAACCTGAAGATTCATATTGAATGTTAACAATAAGAATTGAAATATTCTTGTTCTTAATATGAATTTTCTGCATTTATGGCAAGAAATCTAAGAAGACGTTTTGAAAATAAACACAAAGGAATGAGCTATCCATGCTCACAATGTAAGCACGATACAACTAGCTCAAGTGATCTAAAAACCAAGTTGAAAATATAAATGAAGGAGTGAAATATCAAATCATAAATCCAGAAACAAGAAGTAAAGTTAAGAGGGAATAAATGGCATATCTTACAGAAAGGATGGATATATATAAATTTTACTAGATTTAAATATTGAATTATTATTTCTGTTATTATGATTATTCTGTAAATACAGTTGACAGATTCAAATGATAAACACTTCATCTAAAATAAAGAGTTGATCGAAAATTTATGCTTGCAGAATTAAACAATATTTTTTTTATTATTTTCATTTGTTCTTCCTTCCTTTTTTTGTCCAAAATTTCAAACTTCATGAATGAACACATGTCTTTATAATATTTTAAAAAAATCTCATTATTATCATTTTACAGCTTGTACAGGGTGTTCCAATAAACATGGGAAAGAAATGACCACTTCTAGAAATTGGTTCAGATTCCAATTAAGTAAAAATCAACAAAATCTCCGTTAATTTTAAAGATACAAAGAAGGTAAACCTCATTTTAGAAAGCTGTACGAATTTCAATCTTTTGTGATGCACTTTATAATGTAATTTATGAATTATCAGAATTCACAGACGAAATTCAATTCGTCTCTCAATTCCCATGTTTATTGAGAAACCCTACAATCTATATAAATGTCATCTTTCATGTATAACCAAAGAATTTAAATGTCGTCTTTCATCATGGATCAGCTGTTTTTGACATTCAGCTGAATATGTTGGTATTGTTGATCCGCTCTACTGCCCATCCGTCCTATTGCCCATCCGCTATACTGCCCATCCGACCTACTGCAACATCTGACCTACGACAGTTGTAGGTCGG